CGATATCATTTTTGATGTTCTGAAAGCATGTAAAATGAACTTTTGACACAAATAACTTTTTCCCTGTTGAAACGTATGAGATACGATAATAATGAGTGCAACAAAAATATCTATATTTATAATAAAATAAAATAAAATGAGACTAAATCAAAGCATTTATCAAAACAGCTACAAAAGACTTTTTTTTGAAGAGGTTATAGAATAAAAGAAATGCAAAAGTTTAATTAATGTATTTTAGTCTGCTGTAAAAAAAAAAAAAAGCAGAAGAATAAAGAGTAATAACAGAGAGTTAAATGAGCTTCTCTAAAATAAAACGTTTTCATTTTCTGACAAAATTATTAATTTATTTCCTAGATTTTTTATTTTTATTCTACTATCTAACAACTAAACGAAATATTCGTCACTAACTTGGAGTTTTTTGTTCCAGTTTGGCTGCTCTGTTAGACGTTTCTGACATGACATCATCAGATTCCATACTATTGAATGCACTAATCTAAATTTTGATACACATTATGCAATGATTGTTTCTATCTTTTTTTTTCCATACAGATTTAACAACTATGATTAATAATTAACAAAACTACAACAATGACAATATTTATGACTCATATTTGTCTAGCAATTATCCTATTAAATTTTGCAAGAGTCAATAAATCTGTTGAATAGGGTCTAAAAACGTTCTATCATTTTGCCAAATAAGCAAAATAAAGCTTCAGCATGCAATTGTAGTAACAGCACTTGAACTCGATCTTACCTTATCTTGCAGTACACGAATCCAACATTTGGCACAATCTTCATTATCAGCCGAAAATTTATATTCTTGAGTTCCTGCACTATAAAAAAACAAGAACAACATTAAATTTATGCCAGTTATTGATACATGCAAGTGAACAACTCTTTTTTTGGCGATTTAATCAGCTTAGGATAATTTTATTTTATCAAGTGTCAACCAATGTAATCACCAAAATCATCAAACTTTAACACTGAACTTTCAAAACAGCCGCCAAAAAAACTTTTTTGATAGTATTGACAATGAGAAAAAAAAACTTTCTTTCTGATTTCTGTACTTTTATGAGAAAATTCAAAAGCAAAAAAGCGATGATTTCTAATTCTATTAACATCATATTTAATGTCAATTTCTTCCTTCCTGTTTTCCAAGCTATTAACCTGATTGAAAAACTGGCATCAACATTTTCGGTGATATTGCATTCAGCATCCTCCAATACAACGGTTTCAATCGGTGCTTTCTTCTTCATAAAATCATCCTTGTTCTTGAACAGCATTAAACTTGCTGTAATCTCTTCCAGTGCACAGTACATTCGTTGTCGTGTTCTCGTGTATGGAAATACTAAAAGTATAATAGTGATTATAATCAAAAAAAAAAAAAGAAATGTCAAAAACTATAAGAACAAAAAGAAAAAAGACACAGCAAATCTCAGCAAAAAAGAGAGAAAAAATAGATAAATTTAAAGGTTAACATTGTTCTGAAAATTTAAAAAAATTTAGCAAAAAGTTGTATAGCTTTGAAGTAATCAATGACAGCAAAAAAAAAAACATATTATCCCGTTCTCCACAAGTTTCAGTTTGTTAAATCAAAACTGTTGTTCAAAAAAAAAAGGAAACTTGGAGAAAAAATTCCAATAAAAAATAATAGCAAAAAATTTCCTTTTTGGTTCACTGAGATATCAAATTAATAGCACAAATTTGGTCGGACATAAGCAACGACAAAAGAAAAAGACAGAATTATTTTTGGAAAGATTTCAGCTAAATTTTTAGCAGTTTATACAGTGTTTAACACAGACAGAAACAACACTGCTCTTAAAGAGAGTACAAATACAGTTGCCCATATTTTTCAGTTCCATTTCATAGGGCTGTCATTTGTCATTCTTTAATCTTCGCTTTTTTCCCCACCTATTCTTCACTTATCCGCCAACAAAGTTTTTTAGAACTCAGACAAGCATAAAATAGCAGTAATCAAGTTAGATTAATGAAAAGAATAACAACAAACAAAGATACTTTCATTGTGCACATTTTTTTTTCATATTATTAAAAAAAAAGCCAAAAATTAAAAATATATTAGAAGATCAAAAGCAAGAAAAAAAAGACTAATTATCTGAATTGCCATAAAGAAAGAGTGAAGATTAGAGTTAATGATAATTAAACCGAATAAAGAACTGAATAATAGATGGGCAAAAATAAGATGTAAATGTCATCTTTTTTTTTTTTGTTTTATTTGGAAACCGGGCAACTGAGGAGCGTTACGGTTAGCAATTTTATAAAAATCAAACAGCCCAAAACCATATCAATTCAACAATTCAAATAAATTCAAAAAAAAAAAAAAAAAAAAAAAAAAAAAA